AACATTTCAGTAAAGTTTGTAGAAAGACCTTCAAAGAGTATGAAATATGCGGTTCTGACATAAAACTGTCTAAATGTTTACTGTCAATGTCGGACATTTGACCTTCAAGGGTGCTTGTTCTTGAGCCAGCTATGCAGCACCATACATTTTGCTCTTCATCTTGTTATGGTGAACATTTGAGATAAGTTTAAAGACAATCATTTGAGAGGTATAAGATTTATAGAGATGACATGAAATTGTCTGACATGTGATCTTCAAATATGAGTTTGATCTGGCACAGCCACAGCATGATTTCTTTATATTGCTTTGATAAGGTGAACATTTATGCCAAATTTTAAGAAAATCCTGCAAGAGGTAAAGGAGTTATAGAGGGGACCCAAACTGTTTTACACCTTAAAGTGTGACTTGGCAGTGACTTGGGTTCTGCATGTTAATGTGTTGTCAGGCTGAAAATATTATAGATAATTTTGCAAAGTTTGTTCCATGCCTTTGAAGAAAGAAAAAGATAATTAAATGTTAGAAAATGACTAAATATGATAATGTGCACCACTAGTAACAAGTTCTTGTTTAAACATAATGCTACATTGTACATGTAATATATTCCATTGTATGTAAATATATTGATGTGTATATGTTGTTTTGGGCCAGAGGCCTTGAATCATTAAACTTTGTCATTGGCTTCTATTTTAAGTTTTAGAGTGAGTCAAAGAGTTTGATATCATACACTAGAGTTTGTCATATTGGCGTCCTTTTTAAAGTTTTATAAAAGAGAACTACATGTAGTAACTTATCTTATTCAATCTTTTAAGTTTCTGTTTAATACCAAAAAAAAAGCAAACTATGTTAAAGACACAGGCCCTCAATCTAAGCACCAAGTAAAATTCATATATGTTGATATTTGAGGGAACATAAATAACACTAATTCAACAGTGATATACAACAAAGAAACAACAATACAGACCTTATATTCCACAATAAATTCACACTGTTTGCTTAGATCTTTATTCAGTAATGACCTTTTCATATCAACTTTTATTTGGTACTGAAAAAAAGAAAAACTAGAAATGTGTCATCATGCCACGGATGCCCCCGCATGCAGCCAAAATTTCAAATGTTATAATATTTAGTTCCAAATTTGTTTGCACAAATTATTTTTTTCATTCTAAGTTCAAAGCCCTTAAAACTTTTCAATGTTAACACAAACCATTTTTATACAATGTTCAAGGCACTGAAATTATTCAGTCTTAACCATTTTTATACAATGTTCAAGGCACTGAAATTATTCAGTCTTAACCTTTTAAAAATAGCATATTGCATATTTGTAGCCAACATAATGGCTATATGCATTTCCACAAAAGTATGAGTGCTGAAACTGAAAGTTCAAAAATTTTCCAACATTCAGGAAAGATAAGTTTGTCTAAAATCATTGAACCACAACCAAATTCAAACTTAAACTGCTTATTCCTAAGATGTATCGATATTATTTTCAAAGTGAAAGGGACATAACTCTGCCAAATAATCATCGAACCATGACCAAATTCCAACTTGACCTGCGCATTCCTTTGACATATCCATATGTCAATTTTGAGTTGAATATGTAACACTGTTGGGTTGATAATGAACAGAAACTGTAAATTTCATATCATTTTCAAAGTGAAAGGGGCATTACTCTGCCAAAAATCATTGAACCATGACCAGATTCGAACTTGGTCTGCGCATTCCAAAAACATATCCATATGTCAAATTTGAGTTGAATGTGAAATATTGTTGGGGAGATAATAAACAGAAACTGAAAATTTCATATTATTTTCAAAGTAAAAGGGGCATAACTGCCAAAAATCATCGAACCATGACCAAATTTGAACTTGGCCTGCGCATTCCTTTGACGTATCGATATGTCAAGTTTGAGCTAAATGTGTTGTACGATTGGGGAGATAATGAACGGAAACTGAAAATTTCATATTATTTTCAAAGTGAAAGGGGCATAACTCTGCCAAAAATCATTGAACCATGACCAAATTTGAACTTGACCTGCGCATTCCTTTGATGTATCCATATGTCAAGTTTGAGTTGAATGTGTTGTACCATTAGGGAGTTAATGAATGGAAACTGAAAATTTCATATTATTTTCAAAGTAAAAGGGGCATAACTCTGCCAAAAATCATCGAACCATGACCAATTTCGAACTTGACCTGTATTTTCTCATGACATATCCATATGTCAAATTTGAGTTCAATATGTGCAAGGGTTATTAAGATAATGAACGGAAACTGATGATGACGGAAGGACGGAATGACGGAATGACGGAACAGGGTAACACTATATGCCCCTGCCATTATATGGCGGGGGCATAAAAATGATTTAAAACATAAAATTAAGACTATCAAATTTATATACCTGCTGACATAAATGTAACAACGTTGGTAGAACATTATAGTACTGATAATGAGCATAATAATATGCAAAAACTACAGTTGGTGATTTTAGATAAGGGAATGTGTCCCATATATAAGGACACAAACCACTCTTGGATGGTGATGAACTAGCTTTTCACTGACAAGGTTTGTGTCCCGTTACAAAATAATGCTAGAATCTCAAGAACATTTTCATTCTTTCCATGGCTTAAATGTAAATTAGGAATAAAGCATTATCAAGATTTACAGCTATATATTTCGTTTTCTGTCATCAGAACAGCTTTTATCTAGATTTAACAAGCAATTATCATAGTATTGCAAGCAATCCATAAGTCCCCTACCAGTTAGAACCCCATCAGCACTCTGAAGGGCCATTGGCCATTCACTAATGTTTCAATTTTTCTCTATTTTAAGTAGGGCCGGGAATTATATTCGGATATTCGAATATTCGAAACACTACCGAATATTCGAACATTGAAAAACGAATACGAATATTCGAAAAAAAAAGGAGAAATGTTTCATTTTTTGTCATTACTTTCAAATTTCAATTCAGATCGTAAATTAAACCTTTGCCCTTTCCTTCACCAGGTGTTCAAATGTTTGTATGACGCGTGTCAACAATTATCGCCAATTAACTGTGAAATCTTTGGGGTATAGTTGATCAAAAGGGCACCTGTTTCACAGTTTGCAATTTACCTGTTGAACAGTTTATAATGTAAATTTTTCCGATTTTAATTATCTTATTTATTGTTTTCTGTGTTAAAATCTTTCCGATTAATCAATAATTGTCTTAAATTTTGTGAATAAGAATAAATTGGCACGCATTATTCGGCGCGTTATGAAAGCATAGGAAGTGTCTAAATTCTGTCAGAATATATTTATTCCGTAGACATTAGACTCCGTGTGATATTTACCTCGTTATAGCTAAACTTATCTTAAGAATATTTTAAACTTTATCTAAAATTATAAATAAAAAATATTTAATACAAGGGATAAATGGCTACGATGATTCATATTACTGTCAGTCAAGTCACGTGAGTTACCTCCCGTTAATATGACAGCGGTCGGGTTTACTGAACAAAAGGCAATCAAATTATGAATTTATTTCAAAAGTAAACATATATCTCGATTTACAATATATAAATTAAAAAAACTTCGACATAGCAATAAAGGTCTTTTTAATCGCCGATTATTCCAAGCATTTTAAAGTAGTATAGTATTCGACGCAATCAATTTCGGATACGTATACGTCAAAGAGAAATATTGGAACAAATGTTGTTAAAACGAATATTCGAATATATTCGAATATGGAAAACGAATATTCGAACATCGAATTCCTTATTCGTTCCCAGCCCTAATTTTAAGTAAATTTGTTGGAAATGTTCTTTAAAAGTGATCACATGAAAAAGTTTTTATGAACAGACAGACAGACGGACAGAAGGACACTCCAAAGTTAATATTTGAAACATCGCTGTTACCAAAATATAACATTTTAAAAAGCAAAATTCTTAAAGAGGAGATAACTCTGGAATTAAAGATGCAATTTCATAAAAATTTTCAGCTCTTTTTGACTAATCACAAATATTGTTATATTTGCCATGTTTTAAGCCTATTTGTTGCCAAGGCAACCAATATTTTTTCAAAATAGGAAGAACAGATAAGACATGCATAATCTCAAGACTGCCATCTACCCAGTGGGCCACATGTCAAGTTTCATAAAAATATTTCCAGTACTTTTTGAGTTATCACTGGATTCAGTTTATGTGTAAAATTTGCCATATTTTCAGTCTATGTGTTGCCATAGCAACCAGAATTTTCAACATAGGAAGAAAAGAAAAAGACGTGTATTAAATCTCCAGACTGCCATCTACACATATTACAAGTTTCATAAAAATATTTCCAGTACTTTTTGCGTTATCACTGGATCCAGTTTATGTGTAAAATTTGCCATATTTTCAGCCTATTTGTTAGCATAGCAACCAGAATTTTCAACATAGGAAGAAAAGAAAAAAACGTGCATAATCTCCATACTGCCATCTATCCATATATCAAGTTTCATAAAAATATTTTCAGTACTTTTCAAGTTATCGCGGGATCCAGTTTTGTGGACGGACGGACTGACGGACTGACAGACAGACGGACGGAGGGTAAACCTAAAGTCCCCTCCGGTAAACCGGTAGGGGACTAATAAATACCCGGTATATCATGTGTGATTATCACACAACACCAGGTCTTGACATGATAAACATTGAAACAAATTTGTAAAGTTTCTAAAGAGTTTTAATTCAAATCATACCATGACAGTATCAGTGATTAGGAGAAAAGCACATTCTCCTATACTGAAACATATACAAAGGCTGTTAGAACAAGCCACTGTGTAATACAAATTGAGAAAATCAACTTATCCAAACTAGACACATAGAAGTTATACTGTACTTATAAACCATCATTTTATATATTTAGTACATTACCTGAATATTAACAAATACACCATGATATGTCTCATAAAGTGTCTTGTTTGGTTTAGGTTTTAATGGCACTTCAAATGGAATCTCAGTTTTACCATTTGGAAACTTTCCTGGTTTTGCAACTTCAAGGGGGTAAAACAATAATTGAATAGGCTGAAAAATATAGTATCATACATTTGAGCCGTGTCACGACAAAACCAACATAGTGGGTTTGCGACCAGCATGGATCCAGACCAGCCTGCACATCCGCGCAGTCTGATTAGGATCCATGCTGTTCGCTTACCAACTCTATTACAAGTAGCGAAACTGATAGCGAACAGCATGGATCCTGATCAGACTGCGCAAATGCGCAGGCTGGACTGGATCCATGCTGGTCGCAAACCCACTATGTTGGTTTTGTTGTGACATGGCTCATTTAATTCCCAAAAAAACAGAAATGGACAGCATTAAGAACCATCATCAATCTTTAAAATCAAAAGACTTTCTAATGTCAACATGAAAAAACCTCTTGTCATAATGAATTATACAGACTGATTTACACTTGTTAACTACAACTACTAAGGACATTTTCAGAATAAGTTCTGACAATAGCTAACAGCGCTGACCATGATCATCCAGCATGGAATTATCTACATGTTAGTCTTCATATTTTCACACATGTAGATTCATTTGCTGCAGCAGATAAAAGATCAAAATTCTTCAGACATTTGTAGGAACATTTTAATATCATTGTGTCAAAATGTTAAAATTTAATGTGTATAATTACATTAAGTCCAGGAGTGGAACATTGTTATAAATACTTAGTTTTAGATGTTACAGAAGAAATTTATCATCAAATACTGGCAGTTTAGTGTGCATCTGTATAGACAACCATAAGAATCTCTTTGAAGAAAACTCAAGCTAAGTTGCAGCTTTTTAAACAGTTTTTAGATTTCACAATATTAAGATAAATAATTAATTTTAAAAAGTACAAATAAAGAGTGTAATGAAATTACTAAGTTTTTATCCTAATTTTGTCCCAGTCATTTCTAATCCTTCATTTATTTAACTATCATAATTATTATTGTTTGGATTTTTTTTAATATACATATATATATAATGAGCAGTAATTAAAAATCATACTACATAACAATTCTTGGTGTATTTTTCATAAATAATCTTTAAATAACCTTCAATGAATTGTAGAAGGCTTCAAACACTCCAACACTTTTGGCACTTAGTTGTAGATTAACAGAACCTTCCATGGTGAGGGTAACTCCTTGATGAGCCAACTCTCCCTTGCTCTGTACAACAACAACCCCTGCCACAACATCCTAAAATATCCACACACAAAAATATGTTGTAAAACACGTGCAAGATATATTTTCCATTTTTTAAATCCACTAAATTGTTAAAAAGATAACATGTCTTGAGAAAACTACATAATAATTATGTATGTGTACAGTAATTCTCAAATGAAGATTACTGACATGTTAAAACATAAATTAATGAATACACCCATTGGCAGTCTCTATATGAACTTCGTAAATAACCGAGGTATATCGAGTGAAAAAACAAGAGTTGTTTCCCTTAGCTTCGAGTAAAATCAATATCTCTAATGCAAAATGATGCAAATTTATCCGTTTTTAAACCGCTAGTTTGAGGAGATTTAATGTCCGATTTTAAATTTATTACACCAATGAAAAGCTTGTGATCTTAACTTTGTCTCAGTATATATTTCAACTGAAGAATCAACACATTGTTTGACACTGAAGGTATTTAAATATACGGCTAAACCTACCACAAATTAGACCATTTTACATATGTTTTATACAGTGAGATTCGCAATCGGTTATCTTTACTCGCAATTCTACTGATAAGAAAAGCCTGTTGTCTGCTAGAAACTGTCAATCCGTGTATTACATGTATACACTTTTGTCACATTTCAAATATGTGTTTAAATGATTCAGTTTAAATTAATTGACTAACAGTATGCAATTTCATCTAATGAACATCACAACTTATCCTATATGCATATGTAACAAGTGCCATATATACAGTACTCCCAGTTGGAACTGCGTCCCCACTCATAACATGGTAAGCCGATGATGCTAATTTGCATAATTATGCAGTGCCACTTATAAAAATGGCAGAAACTTTGAGCATACGTGTTCTTTGCAAAAAGATGCAGTTATCAGTATCAGTAAAATAAGTCAGTGAAATACGCAAATATTCAGTGCCAAGGTACCAATGGCCACAACCCTACATGTATTATTAAGGTGATTCTGCTTTGTCAGCCATGTTTGTTTTCACTATGTGGGTCCAAAGTGAAAGTAGGCCAAAATTCATATAACAACAAAGGTCACATTGTTATATGATGAGCCATTTGCAAGTACACTTCCAGTTCTATGTTTTAAAGACTATTTTAAACAAAAATAAAAATGATAACAATAAGAAAAATTACCTTGAATGTGCTACATTTCTGAAGACCAAAAGCATTCTGTTGCAAAGTTTTATGCACATTTCATGAATGGCAAAATCCTTTTTAAAGTCTGTTTTAGTGCCTACAAAAGCTACTTTTTGCAGAAAATACACAAAACTTTAAAAAATATAAACTTAGGAAAGTAGTTTATCTGACCTTGAAAAAACATGGCCACCATGACATGTGTAAAAAAGTAGTACCATGAAAATAAACATCATTTATCTATCTCTTGTGTACATGACAAACAGACACACTTCACTGTTACACATAAAAAAGGTTAGATTTTAAAGTTTGATTGTGTTTTCATTTTAATTGTAGTTCATAAGGCTATAAATGGTGATTGTTTTCTTGCAACTACTTTTTTACAAAAAATAATGGAGGCCATGTGCTTAGAAGGACTTGAGATATGGATTTATTTGGAGTTAAGTTTTGAAAGATTTTTGTATTTGCTGCAAAAAATAGCTTTTGTAGGCACTAAAACAGACTTAAAAAAGGATTTTGCCATTCATGAAATGTGCATAAAACTTTGCAACAGAATGTTTTTGGTCTTCAGAAATGTAGCACATTCAAGGTAAATATTCTTATTGTTATCATTTTTATTTTTGTTTATAATTGTCCTTAAAATATAAACCTGGAAGTGTACTTTCAAATGGTTCATCATTTTAAAATAAGAGCTTTGTTGTTATATGAATTTTGGCCTACTTTCACTTTGGACAGACTTTAGTGAAAACAAACATGGCTGACAAAGCGGAATCACCTTAAAAGTGGGAGTGATTGGAAAGGAAGGTGTCATTTAAAACATAAATTAAGCTGTTATGACGTTTAAATTTATAATTTCAATAGTTTAAACATAAATATCACAGTTCTTAACAAAGGTATTTAAGTTATGTTGTTAAATTTCATTTATTACCCCCTCTTTGTAAATTTTGTTAACTTTCTTCAATCTGACATCAAGTGTCGCCATTTTGTCCAAATTACTACAATCACGTGATCCGATAAATTAAAACCCGGAACTAATACGGTATCTATGTATACGGTACTTATACTGACAGAAATTTATCTTTTACTTACGACTGTGTTTCATTTACATAAATCTTGTATAAAAAATACATTTAGATAAAAAGAATTTCCTTTCTGATATTCTGATAAAACACATTTCAGGTAAGTAATGGTAATGGCACAATTCAAAGTATGGATTCTGACAACACTTACTGGGCAGTGAATTACCATACATTCTTAAAGGATTTTAAAAGATCCCACCAACAAGATATCTTCGTGGACACCACCATCAACAATTTTCTCATTGATGGAAAGCAAAGGGGTCATAATTTGGCTAAATTTTTTGGAATATATTAATATCTTAATTCCCTTGATAGTGAACAAGTCTTTCAAGTTTGAAGTGATTATCTAGATTTATCTATCTCCCAATAATGTTGAACCTCTTGCAACATAGACATGTTTGAATAGAGCTCGATGGGTTGAAAAGATTTTCGGAGTACCTGCAGGAAATGTCATTAGTTACACTTTTTTCCTTATCCCTTTCCTTCATGAGCATATTGTGAAAAATGGCCGTTTTCATTGAAAAGCCTCCTGTCACAAGTTCAAACTGCTATGAAACTATGAAAAATGCTTCAATACTGATAAAACTTGGCATGAATGTTGGCTGGACCAAAGCCTCTATAACAACATGCTCAATCTTAAATTTCCTGTAACATTGGCGAGGGGGACGTCTCAAAATTGCCAAAAATCACTATTTTGCTTTTTTGCTTTTTTTTTTTTCATCAAAACTGATTTCAAAGTGCTTCAACTTCTCAATGGGTTGAGATAGAGTAAAAAAAGCTTTTCAGCGTTGGTTACACGTTACCTTACGATCGACCTGAGGCCATTTTTAGCCTGTCACATGTGCAAAATTTTTATTGGCGATGAGGGGGGCTGCCGCCCCTTCACCCCCCCAACAGAAGGGGCACATCCCCCTTCTGGCAACCCCCTGATGTATCTTTTGGATAGGGGGTGGCGCCGAGAAAGTGGTCACTTTTTTAACAACATTTTTTAAACAAAAAAAATGTTTGGGCATAAATAGGGCATAAAAAGGGGTCGAAAAGCCTTCAAAATACGTCTATATAGATATGAGGTAAAGTGTTAAGAAATCCAGTATAAAAAAAAAAATGTTCATAGTATTAAACAAATGACATATATCTGTTGCTGACTGTAAAGCGAATTTTTGTTCATCTCTATTCCCCACTCTCTGTTGGTTTGTCCGTTTGTTCATAGTCGGTTGAAGGAGACCGAGGATGCCTAGGACGATTGAATGAGAGAGGGGATGCCTAGGACAGTTGAAGGAGACCGAGGATGCCAAGGATGGTTGAAGAAATTCGAGGATGCCTAGAACGGTTAAAGGAAACCAAGGATGCCTAGGACGGTTGAAGGAGACCGAGGATGTCTATGATGGTTGAAGAAATTCGAGGATGCCTAGAACGGTTAAAGGAAACCAAGGATGCCTAGGACGGTTGAAGGAGACCGAAGATGACTAGGACAATTGAAGGAAACCGAGGATGTCTAGGACATGATGAACCAACTGAGACTACTTCAAAATACAGAGGGAGAGTCTTTATTGAAATTCTGAAAAAAGGTGGTCAGTCTTAAGCATTAATCACAACAAAATAACATGATAATTGCAGCCTTGGTTTGATTGAGTCTGTACATGATGGATAATGAAAATGTGCAATTGCTCCCAATCTATTAACATCCTTTTCCCATTTCTGCAGAATGATCAAAATATTTTTTTTGGGAAAATTCTTTTATCAATGATTACTTTTGAAGTTTTACATGCTGAACAAATCTTCTTTTGCACACACAAAAAAAAAAAACAAGAGGGCCATGATGGCTCTGAGTCGCTCAGCAGAAACAACTGCTTTTCAGTGTTGGAAATTATTTTTCAAATGAACTTGCAGAAAGGCAAGTCCAGCTCTTTCGGCAAGTTCAGCTCAATGTTAACTTGTCCTTCTTGTAATATACTCTCACAACACTGATTTTTTTTCTTTTTCAAAATAAACAATATGGCCACTGAGATGGCCCTATATCACTGATCTAACCCATCATTTCATTATTCACTATATAAATTGAAATATTTTCACCGTGTTACAGTATCGCGTTTTCCAGTTACAGTATAGAATTATAAAGATGGAGGATTATTTGTGGGGAGGACAGGTAGGTGATTTTTATTCGGTCCATACTACAAGTAGTTTAGTTTTTGTACTTTGCTTGTAAGGAACAGAATCCGGTATCTAGTCATATATTTCTTCAGACCCTGCACCGCAGACTTATCTCTATATTGTCTCATAAATATGTAGATTTGGCAGTTTGAAAATTTGAATCGAGAGACCAACGCTTTTTTCTTCAATTCCGACATTATTTATGTATGCCTAGAAAAGTTAATCTGCAAAACGTTAGCCCTTTATGTTAGGAAACGTTTATAAAAGTAAATGACCAGTTGCACCTATTTTCCTGTTCGTTAAATGCGTTTGAAAAAATAAACAATGTTACAGTATAGAGCGAGATGAATTGTGCAGGGTTACAGTACTGTATAGACCTAGCGATTTTTATCCGGTTTTGTTACAGTTTATACCAAGATTTCAGTTACAGCTTAGACTTCGATATTTTCTAAATTATTATACTAGGTAAAATGTATGAATGTTACATAGAGTGAGCTTATTATTCGTCTGTCTGTCGTACACATGTGTGTGCAATCTCATCCGCTCAGTAACTACTTGACTAAATGTGATGAAATTTACATGACTTTCTACCAAAGTTGTTCAAATGGTTTCGGTTGCAATCGGGGATACAAAAAAACAAAACATAGATTTTGAAAAAAGGCAATGTTTAAAGATCCTTCTCATCTCGAATCAAAAGCATTCAAATCAAATTATGACCATGGCGTCATTTCGAATGCTTCTTTGTTGAAGTTACGATTATTTTGTCGTTACTAAATTAAAAGCTGGGTTTTTTTATTTCAGACATCCTGTATAGACGTTTTCATGTGTCTGAAAAAGAAAATAATAATGGAAGTTATAGAGTATAAATTAAGGTCATACAATTACAATATCTTCTCAAGTGAGCCTGATGGAGGTAAATACTTAATAGTGGCAGAGTTGGGATAATGCCGTCGACTTCAAAATTAATCATCTTTCCTTTACTGCTGTAGTTGAAATCCCATCATGACTTTGGATTCTTTGTATGTGAGGAATCTATCATGCTAATTTACGGAAGGTCGGTGGTTCTAGTCAGGTGCCTGCTCGTGTCTGAAATGTTTCACAAAGGTAACTGAGGTCTTTCTTTACACTAAAGCAGGAATGTTTTCACATAACCTCAGTGTCGTTGAAACTTAAAATCCAAGAAAGCCAAACGTAACAAACCATTTGAAATACTAACAAATTACATTATTGTAGATGGAAATTCGAACTTAAAGTAAAATTAAAAGTTGCAGTATTTCTCACTTAAATAATGTTTAATCACTTATGGTATTGCCTGCTTTTTAATTGTGTCTTTTGACAGCTTATCTGTGGTATGCAGGCGTTATAACGTCCAATCCCCTTTCAAAATTTCATTTTATTTAGCTTCACTCATTGTTTTCTCGTTTAGGGCACACGCAATCTTTCACCTGGGATAATATGCCGCTTTTCATGGAATGGTAATAACGTGTCACATTGAAGGTTCCATGATAACCGCCATATGAACACATACACAAATGTTAAAAAATCTAAAGTTTACCAGTTCATGTTTAATGTGAATTCTGCTGAAGCCGGTGCTAGGAGGCGTGGACGGTAGCTTGCACTTACCACTAACATCCAGGCAATGTGAGGCTTATTATATAAATTTAATACAAAATATGCTGTTCAGGGCATTTTACGAGTTTCGTGTTACAGCAGCAAGTCATCTTTCAAACCATATAAATATTCAAAATGGCATTGGAACACAAGAAAAATCTTAAAAGACGCTATTTGCTAAATAAGATGTTTTGTACAGAATATGTTACATTTGTTCGGCGCGCATGTTTGTTGGTCACTACCCCTCCTCACCCACTCCTCACCCCCCCCCCCCCCCCTACCTCTCAAAACCATGTCAACTGCCAGTATTTTTTATTTGAAACATGTTTTAATATTTGGTATATGCTTTCAATACAATTTCCTTCATTTCCCACAAAAATGATACATATATATTGCATAATTCAATTTCCTACATTTCCCACAATTTTTTTTTAAAAAAATTGATACATTTATATTGCATAATTCAATTTCCTTCATTTCCAACAAAAAAAGATACATATATATCACCGTGTAACGCAGGAATGCATGTGCAAAAAATGCAGGAATTGTGCAAAAGTAACGCATAATTGTGCAATTTAGTGGCTAAAACGAGAACCGCGATAAGTAAATGGACCAATATTTTTTATTGTACACCAAATTGGGAGAAATAAGTTAGCGCATACGTTTGCTAACACATCATTTTTTTAGCCTCATCAAAAATATTTCCATGAAAATGTTTATTTTTCAAGATCATTCGTGAAAATGACGACTTACAATAGCGTACATGTTACTTTATGATTTTTACTAGTCGGTGTACCTGAGACATTTTCCAATCTACTCGTGTCATATTGCATTTAATTTAGCAGATAAAACGTAATTGAGACCATTTTTACGAGGTAACGCCGAATTCGTGAGTGAAGCGGAAATTCACATATATCTATTACCGATTTTGAGATCCATATGGGGATCACCTCCGTGTAAATGGATATGATAAATATGATCTCCATTTTTTTAGTATGTAAATATTCATTAGTTGTGGGAAATAGAATTGTATAATTATTCTAAATAGAATATATTTTTCGTGCAGGCAAATATGCTCAGTTTTACGCTCCAAACACTTTTCCTTTCCCAAACAATTTACACTGTTTTTATGCTTTCCTTTTTTAACTGTCACTTTCGTACATATAATATTTAAATGCATGTTGCATGAAAAAACACTGCTGTTAAGTGACATTATGTCCACACCGTGCATATCCAGTAA